GTCCTTACCGTGTCCCTCGCTCCCCCACCCCTCCGGTTCCCGGTGGCTCCGTTCCCTGCCCCCCTACCCCACCCCGTCTCCGGCCGCCGGCGTGCCTTTCCGGACCCACGGCTGGCGGGCTGCCCCGAGACCGCCTCCCTGCCCTGTCTGCTAAGCGATGTAGCCACCCGTTGGCAGCTCCTCCCTGGGGAAGCCGCCGCTGGCCCCTGGGGCACGTCTCAGGGAGAAGCTGGGTAGTGAAGTGGAACCTGAGGTTTGCCCCGCTGCGGGAGGCTGGTGCCAGCAAGGCGGCTGTTCTGTCCTGTGGAGCTTGTGGTGGAGTTGTCTACAGGTCCCACGGTCCCTCATGTGAGAGCTGATAGTCTGTCAGAGTTGGTGCATTAGCCAGCCACTGTCCATGCTTGGCATAAATGCTTGGTTTGTGTGGTGTTGCCTGACACCATGTTTGTTTTGTTTCCCTTTAATATGGGATCCTTCTTGCTTCCTCTGGATAGAAGAGGAAGGTGCTTTGTTCTGCATGAGAGAACCAGAGGGAAGACCACGATGAAATATTACGAATTTGCCAGTCAGACAGTGCTGTGCCTCTGCGTTGCCCAGGCAGAGGCTGGCTGGTAACTAGGCCCAGAGGCATGGTCCAGTGTTTTCCCATATGGCCCTCCCCAGCTGACAAATGCTCAGGGATGTGAGGAGCAAGTGCAAAACCAGTCCAAGATATTCCTGTTAGACATTTCCATCCAGACATGTACGCTGATCCCGTTCCTAAAATACTCTTACTCTTTACTTGTCATGCACAGTTTGAAACCCTGGCAGATAATAGCGTCCTGGGAAAATCCTTTTGGAATTAATCAATAGACATAATGGCTGATGTATTGTTTTCCCCTTTCTTGTCGGAAGCTGTACCCTGACTTGGCTCTTCCCTCAAGCTTGACTGATGCTTCTGGGAAAGTGGTATGCTCTTGAAGCCTCATTTATGGAAAATGATACATTTTTAAAATTTCTTTGCACTAATGGTCTGTAAGATAGCTCCTTAAATGGGTGAAGACTGTACAGAGAAACAGTAAGTAGCCAAGATGAGACAATACTCTTGTATTAGTTTTCTTTGCCTTCCATTTTAATGCAAAGCTTTCTTTCTCTTTCCTGTGTTTGTTTTTGTTTAAACAGCATCCTCTGGGCCTCTTCAGCCCTCTTGCTGAGGCTGCTCTGCCCGTGTTCACAGAGCCTTGTTCCTCTCCGCTGTCTGCACTACAGCACCTTGCTGAGCTCCAAGCAGCCCCTTCACCCCTTCTCGGGGTCACTGTGGAACGACCATGGCAGACACCGGGGAGGGGAAAAAGGAGGAGGCTGATTATAAAAGACTTCACAGCTTTCCACTGATTAGGGTAAGAAGAAGGATGGCTTACGCATTTACCAATGTTACAGACATGAAATGCTACCTTCATTCTTACCAACCTTCCGAACTAGCATTTCTACCACTGGGTAGTTGCTATGAGAATGTGTCTACTGATGGTCCTGTGGAAGGATCCCAGTTGTTGCTGCTGCTGCTTTCTCCCTGTCCTTGACGTCTGTCAGGGAAATTTATTAGCACAGTTGTTCCCCCCTGTCAGCCAGGGGAAGTCTGGGGCAAAGTGATCAGTCTCATAGACTGAACATGCTGCCTTTGGAGCCCTCTCCTGTGTTCTGGATGCAGCTTGCTCTTTTTCCTAGAGGAGCTGGAGAGAAAGACCTTGTTAGCCAGCCAGACACCAGAAGAGGAAGAGAAGGCTAGGTAATTTAGACTTCTTTGTTATGCCTATAGCGATAATTAAGGACTGTGGTTGGAGCAGTATTAACATGCTTTCCATTCGTCTTATAACAGAAAAACTGACAAATGTATTTATCTTCTCCTTTAAGCTGTGCTTACTTAGTGCTAGTCTTAGTGTTAGGTAGAGAATGATTCTGCATTGGCTGGGACAAAGGAACGAAGGGATCAGTTGTAATGCAGTAAGCCATTTTCATATTTACTGTTCTCTAAAACCGTGGAAATGCTTGCTGTATGGACAAGCCTGTGTTGCTGGCAATAGGACAAGGGGTAATGGCTTTAAACTGAAAGAGGATAAATTTGGATTCGATATAAAGAAGAAACTATTCACTATGAAGGTGGTGAGGCACTGGAACAGGTTGCCCAAAGAAGTTGTGGATGCCCCGTCCCTGGAAGTGTTCTAGGCCAGGGGGGATGGGGCGTTGAGCAACCTGGTCTAGTGGAAGGTGTCCCTGCCTGTGGCAGGGGCATTGGAACTAGATGATTTTTTAGGTCTCTTCCAACCCAAACCGTTCTGACTCTGTGATGCTTCCCACCTTGAAGTAAGCATTAACAGTCACAGGGACTATCTGCCTCTTGCACACGCCCAACAGTCTAGACCCCTGCTGTAGCCTGGGCAAAGTAAAGGCTACTTACTGTTGTCTTGTGTTCAGCTTTTCTTTTTCTGCTTAGTTCCTCTTGCTTGTTTGTTCTTTCCAGCACACAGACATGCCGGAGGAGATGCGTGTAGAGGCCATGGAGCTGTGTGTCACGGCCTGTGAGAAATATGCCACCAACAACGAGGTACTAGCCAAATCCCAAAATGGCCAGCCTTCAGTTGCTGCGGCTCAGGGAACCTGCAGCAGCAGGGCTAAGGGTGCAGGGCAGAGTGGAGTCAGATCCTGACATCCTGTTAATCTCTTTCTACACTGAGCAAGGGTAAAAGAAGGCAAAGAGCTTCACTGAATCTCAGATTCAGTTCCCTTTGTCAGCAAGATCCATAATAGCATTTGTTTTCCTGCAGGAAGCAGAGATTAGTAGCGATGCTGCCTCCCAAATCTTACCTTCTTCCTGGTCCTGCCTTGCCTGTAACATGCTTCCACTCTGTTCATAAAATGCCCCGTTTCCTGAGGGCTTGGTTCAGAACTGTGTGGAGATGGACCTTTCCTCTCTTGAGCAAAGCCGTCCCCACCAGGGTGGGGAAGAGATTCTTGTTTTGGGGATGGATACATGAAAGTCTTTGAACCTTTGGGCACAGTGTGTCAAGCCTTCCCTCTTGGCTTTCAGCCTACAGAATTAAATTACTGAGACCATAAAAATGGGGGGTGGTGCCCAAGTTATGGTCTTTGGAAAGGTTGCCCTTTGCGAATGAACAATAAAGGAAACCACACCTTGCTCTGTGGGCAGGGCACAGACTGCTTGTTGCCAGAGCAGTTTTGTGTTGGATCAAGGCAAAGCTACAAAGCCAGAGATTCCTTCTGTCCCATCCTACTGAGACACCACACATCACTGCAAAATCTTCCTCTCTCCTTTTTTAGATCAAGCAGGGTGTGATCTGGGAGAAGCGAGCCTTTTAAAAGCCAGACTAGTTGCAGCGTTTTGATAATTAGCGGGAGGAAAAAAAAAATTACTTCTGTAAAAATAGCCACAGCTTAGTGACCTGAATCTCCTCTGATGCTCACTGCACCCAGCATAACTCCATCAGCATCTAAACCAGACCACTTTCTTCAGACTGTGTGAATGAGAAGAGTGATTGCTAGATGCAGTTCTTTAATTTCTCCTAGCTGCTGTGTTGGAGGCTGCTGAAAACAGAGACCTGTTTTTACTCTTGGGCGTAGCTCTGGGGAGCTCCCAGTTCCTGCAGTGCAGCTGCTATACCTGTTGCCCATGGCTTCAGTAGTCAGTTAAAGAGAGAAGACTAGGAGGTTGTTTGCATAAAAACTCACTGCTGGCTCTGTCTCACTTTGCACTCTCCTTAACATTCTCTAGAGTGCTGCCAAGATGATCAAAGAGATGATGGACAAGAAATTTGGGTCCTCCTGGCATGTGGTGATTGGGGAAGGCTTTGGCTTTGAGATCACTCACGAGGTGAAGAATCTGCTGTACATGTTCTTTGGTGGCAGCCTGGCTGTGTGTGTTTGGAAGTGCTCCTGACATCTGGCCAGGTCCCAGACTCGCTGCATACAAGAGATTTTTTCCTCTTCTGACAGGTTTTGTATAAACTGGAGGTGGGGCTTTATTTTTAATAGTTAAACATCAAGATTTTTTTTTTCATGCTGACGTAACAGTTCTGTGGGATACATATATTTGGTGCGTGCGTGTGTATAAACTTGCTAAGCTGTCCTCTCCTTGCTCGTAGGATTTCTCATCTGTCTGTGGCTCTTTCCTTGGTGTCTGGGCCAAAGCAGGAAGGAGGTGGGGAATAGGTAATCTCATGACACGCTGCAGAGCCATACAGCAGCGCTAGGAGGGGGAAGTGAAAGAGAAAAGGTGCTTCATTTTTTTTTTCCTCCCACTTGTTTCACGTCATGTCCTCTCTTCTCTGCCTTCCCCACTACCGTGTGGTATGGCTTTGACCAGCACCTGTCTCTCCTTTCTCTGAATGCTGAAGAATACCTTCTTTCCCCCCTTTTAAGATGTCCATACAGAACTGGCAGTGCCAAGGATCTCCCTTTGGGCTGCCCGTGGAGGTGTTAGCCACAGGGAAGCAGGACTCTGCTTACCCTTCCCCGTTTCTTCTGGGAGGGTACAACAGCTGAGCTGTCTGGGTGTAGGAGGTTGCTATGCAAACTGCCCCCTCCTTTCTCACCCACCGCACACTGAGATAGCATGAAAACACAGGCGGCTGGCGGCGCCTGGGGAGTGGGTGAGAACTCTTCATAAGGCTCGAATGCCTCCCTGTCAGTTGTTGGGGGTGTTGCAAGTGCTGTGTACTTTCAGCATCTTGTTTGGAGGCTGGTAGAGGAAGGAGGCTCCATGTGAGATATCACTTGGTCATCAGAAACCTAATGTCTTTTTGGACTTACGTTCTTTTAGCTTGTTTCATTTTTTAAAGCTGTCAGTGTTGGAGGATGGAACGAACGTAATCGTACGTTACATATGTGGCCTATTTATATAAACCTGGGGAACTGTGTTTTTACAATAAAAATTTAGTTAAATGTCCTTTTCTGTGTGTGTTCTAAAATGAAAATCCTAAAAGTGGAGGACGAGAAGGAAAAATAGTTCAGGAAACACAGAAGTAAGCAACCAATGGTGTGGCTCAGGTCGGGGACAGTGACAAGTCTCCATCCCACACATTTCCTGGGTAACTCATAGGTACCAGAGACTCATCCTCCCTGTTCAGTTCCTTTCACCAGTGCAAGCCACAATGCTGAGGAAGGTTGCCAGGCCCACAGTGCTGCTGGCCAAAGTTCTCAGTCCACATAGCTATCTAAGCAGTAGCAGCAAGGGAGTGTACCTGTGTCCTCTGCCCAGTCAGTGTGCCTCTGCTCTGACCTTTGGGGTCTCGTGTTTGCAGCTTCCTTGATTTTCAGACTTTCCTCTCAGAATGTCACCAGCAGTACCACTGGCACCTCATGTTTTATGAGAGGCCACGCTCTAGCCCATAGTTCTATTCTGAAGGACCTTTCTGCATTAGTGCCTGCAGTGGATCAAACTGGTGGAGGGTCTTACAATTCCTTTTGTTCCTTCTCTGAACCTCAGTGTGATGCTAGATATGTCCTTCCTCCATTTCATCATGTCAGGAGCTCTTCCATAAGCCAGGAATTGGAGTAATATGAAGACAGCTAGAAATTATTTCAGATTTGGACCGTCTGTGCTGGCTGGGCTCGATGCCCTCTCCCATAATTCCTTATTGATGAGGTGGAAGGGAATTGTAAGGTAGGGGGGACACATAACTGGTATCATAAGGTAGTTGGTACCATGATGCCTGCCCTGTGCGGTGGACTGCAGTGTCAGGATCGCTGTGCAGCGTAGAAGAATCCAAATCCTTTGAGCCATCTCTTGGTGTGGTTACTCTGCCTCACTCCAGCTGGCTGCCTTTACATGAAGATAGCACTGTTGACTGGCACTTTCTGCAGCTGGCAGGTGGAAGAGTTTATTTTCTCTTCCATAACTTTCTATCTCCTCTAGGCTCAGAGGAAAAGGTAAAGCCGGTGTCTTTGGAATGCCCTGTGTTGGAGCATGAAGATACCTTCAGCCATACCATAGTCGCTTTAATCATGCCTCTTTCACACTAATGAATAATTAACTGTTGTGTGCATATGCACAGACACACTGGTCATGGGCATCTCTGCAGGGTCGTGGTGACCTGCAGATGATCACAGGGAGCTGTTTACCTCAGCACACAATCTTTTGGCCTCGCTGCCAGTTTGTTATCTCTTCGGCCGCCAGATGACCAAAGCTAATGTCTCCATGACCTGCATCGGCAATAAGCGAAGGCGGACCACTCCCCAGCCTTCTCAAAGCACAAGCGTGCAAACAGATTGAGGTGAGCTAGGCGCGAATTTGCAGCAAGTTAGCTCCCACGCTGTAACTCCTTCAAGATAGGTGCAAGGTGGCTCACAGGAGAGCAGCAGGCTATTTTTGTTTCCAAGGGTAACAGCTTTCCCACAAGAAGTTACCATGAAGAAGCCAACCCATCTTAGCTGGTTTGCATGCCCGTCATTGGCGCTGTACATGAAAACATAAACCCCAGCTTCCTGAAAGGCAGCTGTGTGCGTTAAGGCCCCTGCTCTGAGGCAAGTGTTTAATAGGACAGATCAATTTTCCTGCCTGTTGCGAGTTGAGCCATGCTGCGCTGGTCCCTGTGTGTTAGAAGAAAGACTTTCACCCTCCTTTTGCTGTGGAACTGGCATGTTCTCGGGCATGCCTGTAATTTTTGGGGCAGTACGGTTCATGGACCAGAGATGGTCCCTTGTTCTGTGTTTTCCCACAAGAGACCCCTCTGCAGCTGATGTTTTGGAGCTTCTAGGGCCTATCTGCTTTTGACTACAAACCCACAGTTTCTTTCTGAAGGATTTTACCTTACAAATTTTCAGCAGAAAGCTGGGGAAGCTGGCAACAGGTGGCTTGCTATTGTGTTCTCCTCTCCCTCTCAGCTCTTGCCCCCTGCATATTGCTCCCATTACCCATCAAAGCATCGGGCTGAGTCAGGTGTGGAAAAGGAGATGAAAAACGCAGGGTAATGCATCAGTGACAGCCGAAATGACCCTTTCTATCTGCCTGTCCTGGAAAGCTGCGATAGCAGCTCAAAGGGCTGTGCTTCATGACTTCATCCCTCCCCACTGAGGGGAGATGGGCAACATCATTATCGGCTGCCGGGGAGTCTGACTCGGTGCCAGCAGTGGAAATGTCCTTGGATGTATGGCTCCTCCTCCGCCCTAAGGGTGACTGGAACCTGCTGGGAAGATGGAGGAAGAGCTGGGAAGATGGAGGAAGAGCTGGGTGGGGGCGTGGGGGGGGGAAGGAGGTGGGAAGAAAGAGGTGCAAACTCAACCACTTTGCTGCGATAATGTCATGGCAACAAGGTATGTTGACATGCTGTCAGGCAATCGGGGCAGGCTTTGAAGCTCTCCAGCTGTTCCCCATTGCTGCGGGCTCATGTCTGACTCGCTGAAAAATCTTTTTGTTAATATCTAATGCTGGCGTGGAAGTGCTAGGGGTGGCAAGTGCCCCCCAGGCCCCTGCCTCCACGTTCCAATGGGATACTAAATCTGGGCAGGGGGTAGGACTCTGGGTCAGCAGGGTGGCTTCAGCCCATAGGGTCCTTGTCCCCGTCTCTCTCTAGGACGTGGGAGCAAGGTTTCTATCCCCCCCAACCCAGTTTGGAGCTGGTTTGGGGCACTGGAAGGAGGGAGGGGGTCTCCCTCTCCCCTCGCTCTCCCAGGGCTGGCTCTGGAATAAAGAAATCTGTGGCTCTGCTCCGGGAGCCGAGCCCAGCTCCTTTGATGTGAGCGGTTAGCACTTGGTTTTTGTTGGTGTTTTGGTTTTTTTGCTAAGCAATGACCTAATGATCCCATGTTCCAGCTATAACCCCTCCTAGGCGCCTTCTTTCCAAACTGTATGTCCGGACTGGATCCAGCAAACCTCCCAGAGCAAGACGCCGTGTTCCCTTCCCCGGGGGAAGCCATCTGCTCCCCTCCGCCCAGCTCCTTCTGCAGGGCTTCAAGCTCGCCAGCCAGGCTGGAAAGCTCTCCTCTTCCTCCTCCCTGTTCACCCCAGCTCCCATCGGCCATCTTGTTAGTGCAAGGCACGGGGAAGGGAACGCAGGGCTGGCTGAATCTGGGACGACTGATGGTGTCAGCCGGAGACGGTTTCCAGGCAACTGTCGTGCCGTGGGACACGATGAGCCAAGAACACCAGGAACACCGTGTTCTCGCTGCACTGCCTGGGAGGGGGCTGAGCCTGGTATGGACAGAGCTGGCACGGGATGGTGTGGAGAGGGCAGCGCGAGCAAGAGGGTAGTGCAGGGATGGCAGCAGAGGAGGGGGTCTCCAGCATACCCCCTCCTGCCCACCACTCATCATACCCTCCCTGGCTTGGAGGGAGGATGTCCAAGCTGATTGCTGGTATATCACGCAGCGAGGAAGGACTGGGTGGTGTACGGGATTTCACGTGCCCTCTGCATCCTTTGGGAAATCAAAAAGAGGAAAAACATCGCTCCGGACTCTGTACCCAAGCTCCCAGGCTTCTTGCGGGTGGTCCCATGCTTCTCCATCCCTCAATAAATCCAAAGCTCCCTCCCTACAAGTCACCAGCTGTTTTGCCCACACAGCCCAGCTCTGCGTCCTTGGGTGTCACTGGAAAAGTGAATTTCTTGTAAAAATGGGCTGCCCTTCCACAAGCTGCCAGTCCTCCCCAGTGCTTGGTGGGTCCCGCTGCCTCCCTGTGCCGATGCCCAAGGCAGCAGGCAGTGTCCCCAACCCTGCCTGCCTGTCCCCTCTGCCTGCTTCTGAGGCCCTGGGAGCATCCCTGCCCGTGAACCTCACCTGACCTGGCAGCCCTTCCTTGCACTGACAGCCCAGCTTTTCCCCTCCCAGCCATGCTGATACTCACATCCCCTTTGTTTTACCTAATTTGAGTGGTTTTTGAAAGAGGGGTTGAGTACAAGTGATTTTGAATGGGTGGGGGAGGGTAATAATATTGCTCTGGCTGAGCAGCAGGAGAAAAACTCTTTTGGATCATGAGTGTGTGGATATGATGGATGTGGGGAACGGGGCTGCGTAGTGCTGTGCCGGGGGGGTGCTGCAGAGGGGCAGAACCACTTTAATGCCCTGTACACCCAGACATGTCCGGCAGCCCTGTGCGGGTGACAGCGTGGGGGTTATCCGCCGCCATCGCTGTCCCCGAGCCAGCCTTGCAGCTATTGATTTGGAACTTGCCCCGTTCACGCTAACCTTGGTGGTGCCAGCTCGCCCCTTATCAGCGCTGATAAACCCCACTGCAACCTCCCGCCCCATCCTGCTGCCAGCCCAGCAGCATCGCCCCACGAGGTGCCACGGTGACAGAGCTTTCCTGTGACTCTGCTCGTGCACCCATTGCTCTTTTGCTGTGATGCTCTAAATCGAGGACGCCTCACTCCTATTTTTGCACAGAGGCCGTGGCCGCACCAACTTTTTTAGCCCTGGGTGGGTGTCCACCCCTTGCTGAGCATCTCGGGCAAGGAAGGATGCGGCGCCAGCTACAAACACTTTTCCAAAGGAAATTTAGAGTCGGCCTCCTCTTTCTCCTGCTTTTGGCCTTCCTGGCGCACCTGGCGATGGATTTGGCTCTCCCTGCAGCCCACAGGCCCTGCGGCTGTGATGCGAAAGCACCGAAAGCCTTGGGTGTTCCGTCAGGCAGCCCCATGCTGTCTGGCCCCAAAAAGCTGAGCCTGCGCATCCTTCAGGATTTCAGTGGCAGCAACGGCTCCTTGGAGAAAAGTGGGGCTGCGAGCGAAGGCTGGAGTGCCAGGGGTCCAGCGCCAGCGCGGAGACAGCAATCCAGGCCGGACCAAGGGATCAAAGCTGGTGGCGCTTTTCGAGCATCCTCTTTACAACATCCCTGTCCCGGAGGTGATGGAGAAAGACAAGCTGTTTGTCGTCAACCCCATGGAGAAGTTCAGCCTGCGCAGCAGCGGGAGTGACGAATGGTGAGGAGCGAGCTCAGCCCTGGCTTGCTTTTGGGGGATACATGGGTATGAGGGGACAAGCAGCAGGGAGTAAACACGTCGTTTCCTTGCGTAGATCAGCATCCCATCCTGGAGGGGCCCCGCTTGCTGAGCGAGCTCTTCTTGCGCCTCAAATCCTCTCTTAGCCCTGAATTTCTGGGCTGCTGCCCGGGAGCCTGTAGCACAAGGCAAAGCCAAAGGAGAGCCTTGAATTTTTCATACTATTATATAGGATATCTTTTAGGTCACCTCCTCAGCTCCTTTCCTCCCCCAACGTGGACTCTAGCCTTTGGTCTCTCTCTCTGTGTATGAGGAAGTCCCCACTCCAGTTATTTCTAACCAGTTTTATTCCCCTCTCCCAACACGTCGGGGATGCAACGCCTGCAATGTAGGTTACCTCTAACCGTGAGACCGTTCCCGTCCTGCATTTCGCAGGGCACCGCCTGACCTCTTTAGGCTCAGCCGTATGGTGAGCTCATCACCGCCAGCTGCCTATTTTTATCACTGGACTACTAACCTCTAATTAGGAGGGAAGATATTAAAAGCTTTAGCGTCGATAACACATAGCAGCTTCCTTATGGAAAGCACACCTTCCAAAAGTGATGGCTGCTAAAATTGGGAGAGAATAAAAGCTGGTTTCAGAGATGGTTTCTACACCTGGGCATTTGTCTTGTCTCTGGGGACCACCTTGCCTAAGGATAACCACAGGAGATGGGTCTGGTTGGTTGAAATTGGGGCACAGTCTGCATTTTCCTAGAGAGGGAGATGCGGATTTGGCTTATAGATGCCCTGGGCTGGACTGTCCCATTGCAGTGCCGGTGGGCGCTGGTGCAGAGGGGGGCAGATACCCCCAGGAGCCCCCCTTGAATGCCAACAAACTGCAAATTTGCAAGAGGCACAGCGATAGGGATAGTGCTAACCCAAACTAATCACACCCCTGGGGAAATCAGGGGTGTGCGATAAGCCCATCCACAGGGAACAGGACATTGAGGGTGGGAGTTCAGGTGGGTGCTGGGGATGGCTGGGAAGCCCCTGCTTCTCCGCCCCACTTTTACAGACACGTGTATGTCCCCAGTGAGCACATGGGTGTGTGTAGCCGGTTGTATTCCCGGGAGCTAATCCCTGGGGGAAATACGACGCAATGAGCTGCTCTGGCAGGCAAATAAAGGTACGGATGAGAGGAGCAGAATCAGCCCATGGCTTTTCTGCGGGGGATGTGAGGGAAGCCACCAAGCCCCCTCCAGCAATGCCTGTGGGTCTCCCTGGCCACCAGCCATGGGTGGGATCTGCCCAGGTGCCAGGAGCCCCAAGGAGGGTGCATGGGGCAGGGAGTTTCAACACCATCCAGAGCTTATGCTGGGCCTTCCCCCCACGTCACGCTCCATGCGCTGGCTCCGGGAGGGGCCTGGGGATGCGGGACCTGTCCTGTCCCAACTAAACACTGTCATTGTTGTTGGGGTGGCGGTGGCTGTTGGGCTGCAGGGTCAGCAGCAGTAAAGCCGAGACGCTCCTCCCGACAGGGAAGACGGCCTATGACACCTACCCCACCTGGCTCAAATTCCACGTTGGCATCAACCGCTTTGAGCTGTACCCCCGCCAGGACCCCCTGATGCCCACCCTCCTCCAGGACTTGGCCACGCAGAGGATTGTCAGCTCAGGTACCACCTCTCTGCCTGCGCCCCTGCCCGCACCCCTGCCCCGCTGCCTGCTGCCCACCTCCCTCATCCCTGTGTGCCCCGTTTCAGTCCAGAAGTCCGGCGGGACCCAGCTTAAGCTCATCATGACGTTCCCAAATTACGGGCAGGCCCTCTTCAAGCCCATGAAGTGAGTAGAGACAGGGACAACCCTGTACCCCACCCACACGGTCCCGTTAGGCAGCAAGGAGTGGTCGGACGAGACCACGGAGGGAGAAACAGAGAAATGCTTCGTGCGCTGCCTTGCTTCAACACCTCGGTTCCCAAATTGCGGCGAGCGGGATGGTCCCCTTCCCGTCGCCTTCCCTGGTGGTGCTTGCAGCAGGCTGGGCGCAGCTTGTGATGGGGTACTGACCTCCAGTGGTGGAAAGAGGAAGATGGTCCATGAGGACCATCCAGGACCCTCCAGTCCATGAGGGCTTCCCAGCCCTTGGGTTGGGAGCAGGGGGTGCGTGAGGGCCTGGCTGGGGGATTTGGGGCTGCACCACCCAGCAGGGAGTGACTGGAGGAGACTGGGTCTGGCTGTGTCTCCAGTGGCACCAGGGACACAAGGTGAGGGCTGGTTTGGAGCCAAGCCCACGCTTGGGGTGACCCCATCCATGGCCATTGCTCCCACCCTCCCCTCTCCTCCCAGACAGACCCGGGACCAGGAGACCCCCATCGACTTCTTCTACTTCTCAGACTTTGAGCGGCACAACGCGGAGATTGCAGCCTTCCACCTGGACAGGTGAACACAAGCTTTGCATCCAACTCTGTGCTCCTGTGACAGTGAAACGGCAGAGAAACTTCTCCTTCTTCCTGTTGTGAGGGCTACCTGCATCTCACAGCGATTTTAATAACTCACTGTGAAAACTAGGCAGGGTTGGCAAGAAACGGTTCCAAGTTCTCTGTTCCAGGATCCTGGATTTCCGGCGAATCCCCCCAGTTTCTGGCCGTTTGGTCAATATAACAAAGGAGATTCGTGACATCACGACAGACAAGAAACTGGCCAAGACTTTCTTCATCTCCCCAGGTGAGCCTTCCTGTCATCCATCTTCTCACATGGAGCTCACCTGGAGCCGGCTGCCCTTGCACCAGGGCAAACTGTCTCTTTGAGGGCTGCTCCAGCTCCCACCAGGTCCCCTGCCATGGGGCTCTGCTCCTCAAGGCCTTCCTTGCCATTGCTTTGCTGGTGGCACATGGCAATGGCGCATGGAGCATCCTTGCCCGTCCACCTGCTGGTGGTGCTCCATGGAGGTAGCAGGCTGTCTGCCCACCTGCTCCATGTCAAACTCTGCTTTGTCCCCATGGCCAGCGGGCAACGTCTGCTTCTACGGGGAGTGCTCCTACTACTGCTCCACTGAGCACGCCCTCTGCGGCAAGCCAGACCGGCTGGAGGGCTCCATGGCCGCCCTGCTGCCCGACAAGACCTTGGCCAAGCGCCGCTCCTGGCGCAGCCCCTGGCGCCGCTCCTACCACAAAAGCAAGAAGGCTGAGTGAGCCGGGCTTGGGGGGCGAGGGGTGTGGGATGGGAGGGGGCTGCCCCACGGCTGCTCTCACAGACCCGTCCCCCGCCCTGGCCTCTGCCCACAGGTGGGAGCTGAACCCCAACTACTGCGCACAGGTGCGAGCGACGCCACCCTATGACAGGGGCCATCGCCTCCTCGACCTCATTGACATGACGGTCCTCGATTTCCTCATGGGTGAGCCCCGCCGTGTCGGCCCTGGGGGCTGCAGGGGTCCCTCGGGACCAAGTGGCCCAAATGGCTCCGTGCCCCGCAGTACTGCGCCCTGTGAGGCTTGTTGGCCAAACCATTGCTCAGGTTGCAGAGGGCTGCACTCTTACGCAAAACAAGAGCAGAGGGCTGTGCCGTCAGGACACATGCTGGGCAGAAGCCGAAGGACAAGAGGTGCTGGGGAGATCCCAGCTGAACACCCCGGGAGCGGGACGCACCTCCCGGCAAACGCCCACATACAG